GGTCACTGGGGTTCAGTGTTGGGCAAGTTACTTTCAAAAAGTAATTAATTATAGTCACTAGTTACTTCTCCAAAAAAGTAACTGAGTTAGTAACTGAGTTACAATATTCTAAAAGTAATTAATTACTTGAAAAGTAACTATTGCGTTACTTTAAAAAAAACGTTTAACCCTCTGGGGTCCAGGGTATAATTGGCCATTTTTAACTACTTATGATTTTACCTCAACATTTTACCTTTAAAAACTATTTACTTTGCCTTCTTTGGTATTATTCTCACACAGCAGCAGGTGTATCACTCCTGTTCTCTATCTGGGGACAGCAGTCACTTCATTGTTCTGACACACTACACAAAACTATCCACAACACTACACTCTAACTACACAAGACAACACATTAACTACACACTCCAAACACGCTAAACGTCACAAATGTCTCACATCTCAAAACTTGCTCTCTCTCTCTCTTTTTCTGCTCTCTCTCTCTCTCTCTCTCTCTCTCCGTCACTCCTAAAACTTCCTGGTTTTTTTTGTTTTTTGCTCATAAGCAAAGCGTGCTTGCTAGCGCTGCCCTTAGACAGTAAACGTGACGAAACTATTGAGGAAAAAACGCAGCGTATATATTGTTTATCATGACTCTGGTTTTACATGGCCCATCAACACAATTTAAAAACTGGTATATATCACCTTGTTGCTTTGTCTTTAAGTGGTCGTGTGATTGGCTTACCACGACTACTTTATTCTTCCTCAGTCAAACAGCAGCACTCATGCGATTGATTTGTCCCCTTAGCTCCAGGTGTTGTTGGTTGTGCTAGACCAGGGGTGGGCAATCTCAGTCCACGAGGGCCAGTGTCCCTGCAGGTTTTAGATCTCACCTTGGGTCAACACACCAAGATTAGTTCGTTACCAGGCCTCTGGAGAACTTCAGGACATGTTGAGGAGCTAATTTAGCCATTTAAATCAGCTGTGTTGGTTCGAGGACACATCTAAAACCTGCAGGGACACCGGCCCTCGTGGACTGAGATTGACCGTCCGCGGGAGCGTGCGCAGCTGCTTAAAGCTGTAGCGTCCAGATTACTTACGTAGTCAGTTGTTTGTTGAAAAATAGTAAAGGACCGCGTTTTCTTGTTAGTAACTGTAACAGTGTTGTAACGATAGGAATAGTAATTAGTTAGATTACTCGTTACTGAAAAAAGTAACGCCGTTATTCCCATCACTGCTGGGGTTTAATAGCCTCATGGGATATTTTGCAGAGGGAAAGTGTAACACTCTCTGGTTAAAGTTCTTTGTCTTTAATGTTTTCTTATTTTTTTCAGTGAAGCCGGGAGTGTGTCCTCTCAGACTGTTGGATGACAGAAGGTGTGCTGAATCTTGCTCTAATGACATTGACTGCCCTGATAATGAGAAGTGCTGCTTCAGTCGATGTGGTCGTCATTGCATAGAGCCTTACATGGGTGAGATATGAACAATGATAAGTAGCTAACACTCCCTAAACACTTTTTAAGCGGTTAATGGCATTTTGTAACTAATCATATTCTCTATTTTGGTGTATCTGTTAAGTCCCCCGACCGGTGGTCACCTGAGGCCTCCACATGTGTGCCAAGTACTACTGTCATGATGGTCAGGGTCCAGGACATCAGAAGGGCTGTGACCACACCTGCAGTGAGCTCTGCTGATTAGAAATCACTTTTTTCTTTCGTTAACGTTATTAAGACTTTCTGTTTCTGATGATAATCATGTCTCTCTTACATATTTTTCTTACAAAGAAAAAGCGGTCTGTTTGCATTATTTTCTTGTTTTCTTCTTTACATCATGCAATCTTACCTTGGTGTAAAAACTGTATTCAAGAAACAGTGTTTCACAATGAGTAGTATATCTGTTCCACTTCTAATAAAAGAGTTATAGAATGATGCATTGTGTGCTGTTTCTTTATATAAAACAATATAAATTGCCCCTCACCTGTTGATTTGCTACACATTTGTAATAGGTCTCTGATTTCAAAAGTCTGTGAGGTTCAACAGATCAAATGCAAACGTTTATGATGCTTAAATATTTGTATTTAACATTCAAAATGTAACTAAAATCAGTGCTAAATAAATTTTTTGGTAAAGGGCTAAAAAGCACACACAGATACAAAAAACAAAACAAAAAAAAAAACAGAACCAAAAATAAGATAAAAGTCTGATAGAAACACTGAAACATGTTCTCCACCTGGTGGTGAGAACAATAGGTCATGCATTCAGGCCATGCCCTGTATGCACACTCGCCACACAAGACTCCATTGCTGAAGCAAAAGCATGCTGAAGAATGTTTAATGTCTACTGAAAAACATTTTAGACAAGCCTGTGAAATATTGGAAGAAGAATATTCTGTGGTAAGATGAGCCCAAAACAGAAATTTCTGTAGACCATAATACACACCATGGAGTTCAAAAAGCACTGCATTTCACCCCAAACATGCAAAACTGACAATAAAGGTTGGAGTTGGGAACATCCTAGTGTGGGGCTGTTTTTCATGCTTCCTATAACTAAAGGAAGGATGAATAGAAAAATGTAATGAGACATTCTTGATTTTAAGAAAATCTGCTGTCATCTATCAGTAGACGATTTGTCTAAAATCCCACCTGAGCAATGCATGTGACTAGTTTCTCCACACAGGAGGCGTCTTGAAGCTGTCAACACCAAGAAAGGCGTTTGCATGAAGTATTAAATACATTTCCAGCAAGAATGCTCCCCTGTGTCATTTCTCATTATTACACGTAATTTATGGACATATATGGGTTGACGACTTTGCATGTGTGAATTGGATGGGTTGTTGACGACATCGGGTGAGAATTTCCTGTCAATAACACCTTTAGAAATGAGCCTTGTTACATGCTCAATTATCCAGGTAAAGAAATCCCCAAAATTTGATTTTGTTCATCTGGACGTAACATTTTCAGTGGGAGAAGCAAATCTACTTGTAAACAGTATATTTACATAGTGACTGAAAGTTTCTCATTTCAGTCACTCGAAGTCAAGAAGTCAATTGGTTGAATGACGAAACATTTCTCCGACTGAGAATGATACTGTTCATTCTGTCTAGATGAATAAAACCAACTTTTGGGGGCTATTTATTTAGAAAATTGATGACACATTGTCACAAACTGCAGCAAGACTGCCCCCGCGCTCACTTGGTTGGCATCCACCAGGATTGTAAATGCACTATCAAAACATGGAGCTGCTAAAACAGGAGGGAAGCACAACAAAGGCTTTACATTGTCAAACGCTAGCTGACATTGTTGAGATGAAATTATTTCAAGTGCCTTAATTCTATGCTTTATATTAACTAAAATGCCATATAACCATATAGTGTAGTATTAGGTGGACACGGCCCTGAAATAAAGGCATTAGACTACGTGTCCTTGGGGC